CACGTATTCATTTATTCAATGAATATTTATTGAAAACCTCCGGCTTCTAGGCTCTAGCGGCACAACAGAGAGAAAGAAATACATTTGATATTGTAACACTGGTGGAAAGACCACCACACAAAAAATTATTATAAAGTATGTCAAGTGCCAAGGAAGAGGAAGTTAGGGAACTAACACAGCAGGAGCACGACCCCCGCCTGTGAGCCAAAGATGCTTTCCCAGGGAAACAGCATTGAAGTTAACACCAGATGGATGAGGAGGAAGCCAAGAGAAGAAAGAAAGAAGGTTCGAAGTAGAAGGCATAACATATGCTGAGGTCCACAAGGAACACAGAACATAATTATACTCAAAAGAAATGAAGGCAAGTCAGGCAGGAATGCAGAACAGCACAGAGGATGTGAAGAGCTGCAAGGCTGGAGAGGCAGGCAGAGGTCAGGTCACTAAGGGCCATGGAACTAAATTAAGGACTTTGGTCTTTGGAGAAGAACAACAGCTGTAAGTTAGAAATTGGAGAGTGGGCTAGAGGGGAACAGACTGGAGTCTGCGAAATCAGCTAAGCTAGTAAGCTGCTGAGCAACTCCAGCAGAGATCATGAAAAGACCCCCAGGTTTCTGTCTTGGGTACCTGGGTACACACTGGCACCACACTCACCGAGATAAAAAACAAGAATAGAAGCAGGTTTGGAGAGGGGGTTGATAGAAGAGGACAGCTGGATGCTAGAAGCTTCTGGAGTTCCACACTGCATCTTTCCTCATATACAGTTTACAATTACACCGTTCATTTACACAGGACTCTTGCATTAGGTCTTATGTTTGCAGCTATGTCAGTGGTAAGTCATATAAGTGATTTTAGGTGGAAGAGAGCAAATCTGTTATTGTATGACTTTCAACACTGACATCAGTGGTAAAAAGCAGCTGATACTTCGTTCCTTCTATATGTCCTCCAAGAACAAAGAGAAAGCGGGATCTTCAGGCCTGCAGTAAATTGGCTTTCTGGATGTAGATGTAGAGTGGCCTACAGAAGACTTGGTAAGCCTTCCACTCCACCCTTCTCTTCTACTTAAATTGTTTCATCTCCAGGATAAGCTTTTAAGGCCATTGACTTTGGTGCCATGACATAAAGTATACTCATATTAATGTCATCAATCCCAGGGTCAACATTTTTAAGATAAAACTGGCTTTTAAACAATGAAGTGTTGTATGAGAAGCATCTCGGAACATTTGTGGACTTTTTACTTAATGTCTCTTTTCTTTTTGCAATAAATTGCATTTCCTAGAATTCAACTGGCAAGTGTAACGCAGAGCCCGGTAGGGCTTTGTTCACTCTCCACTGTTCTGCTTTATGGAGAATAAAGCGTTCCCTTTAAAATGACACTGTAAGTGTCATTCCCTACTTCTGGCGTCAGAAGTGGAAAAGATAAAGCCAGGATTGCTGTTACGTGCTTATTCGGCTTGTGCAGAAGACACATGAACCTGACTGCTCTTCAGCACACCCCAAAACACGCAGGACAAGGAGATGGCCTAGCCAGGTTACTGTGCAATACACCCTACGCGTGGGAGAATCCCTCCTTGGGACTAAGGGATGAAAAAAGGAGAGCAGTGGACTCTGCTGAGCAGCAGACCCCAGGGCCTGGGCACTAAAAATTTAATTTTGTGGCTTTATACCTGTTAGGGAGGATGGAGGATGAGCTGCCTCTGATAATTCCCTCTCAAGAGCTCTTTACCAGGGCTGGGACTTGACCTGGGCCAAGACTCTCTAACAAGACCAGCCACATGGAAACTGAGCCCAAATGAAAGTCAACACAGCCCAAGGGAACCTCTGAAGAAACCTGGATTGGTCCATAAGGCTCTATGGCCGAAACAAATACAAATTCAAGTTAGGCAATGAGACCACTCCCACAATTTCCAGCAGCCCTGCCTATTCCTAGACTAAACCCTGTCTCCTATACTCATTCTTCTAGTCAAATGAATAGGTAATAAGTAATTCTGGCCATGTTATATTTGAAGTGCCCATGAACACTGAGGTGGAAGCATCGCCTGGGCAGCTGGATACACGATGTGGATGGAACACAAGTCTACATCAGACACATATTTAGCAGTGATCAGAATACAGGCAAATGTAAGTGAAACCAGGGCAGCAGATGAGACATGTCAGAGGCTACAACTCATGGTAAAAGAGAAGAAGAAAAAATAAAAAATAAAAAAACCAGAAGATACTCATCTCCTTAGTTACAGGACTAAGTAAGGGATATATGAAAAAGGACTTCACTTCCTCACCTCGGTGAAGCCTATTTCTGTTCCTCCTTCCCTACCAATCTTTACATACTTCCTTTGGAACAATTAGGGTTGTTATGTGTTTGGGTTTAGAAAGAAAACAGCCTGTAAGCAAAATTAACATGGAAAGAGGAAGCCAGATGTCAAAATACTGAGCAAAATGGTGCTGTTGATAATGAGAAATGTCCACTGCAACTTGGAGAAGCCCCACACCAATAACCTCAAGGTGAATTTCTAAATGTTTCAGATACAAGCTTTCATCCTCGACTGTGACCTATGTTTTTTTCCTTATAGCCACTACATCCTCTTTTAATAAAGCAACACAAAGGGAAACCACTTTTGAAATCAAAGTGAGACTTATACACCCCAGCTGCAACTTCAACAAGATATCGTGACTAAGTTCACATGACTCATAACTTTCCTAAATTGTGTAATTCATAACAGTTCAATTGAAATCATTTTGGGTGACGTATGGAGTACTCCAAAAGCCAGGGTTCTAGGATATACTTTTACCCTTCAGAAAAATGTAGTCAAATCCCTAATCAGTATTTGGTACTGCAGTCATGGTTAACATTTATAGTGTAAGCAGAGTAACAAACAACAGACCATGCTCTTTAACTATGAAATTATTCACTGGTCTTGACCAATTTAATCTAAATAATGGTAAGGTTAAAGTTAAGCAACAAATTACATCCTGAGCCGTCAACACACACAAACTCAGTTCTCTTCAAAAGAAAGAAACCCACAGACATATATTTATCACTGTGTGAATCTGACAACTCATTACACCTTTCTGAGATTCATTTTCCCTGATGCTTTTTAAAAAACACTAGACACGATCCGATCCCTAAGGTTCATTTCAAATCTAAACACTCTAAGTGTCCCCATCAGGAGTGTCCTTATTTTCCCTCTTTACATACCTGACCTTAAATTGGGCTCAAATCTCTCCTCCTTCAGGGAGGCTTGCTAACCTTGCCAGGCTCGGTTCAGTACCCCTTCATGATAATACTACCTGCCACATTGTGCTCTATTACTCTCCTCCAGGTCTGTTTAGATTGCACTACTCCACTAAGCCAAAAGCGTTTTGAAGATGGGTTTTGTCTGATCTTGGTATTTCCAATGCCACACATAATACTTGCACACCATATGTGTTCTTCAAACATCTCGTGAATAAATGGGTAAGTCTACGCATTTTTCTGGCACTGGTGGTCTGCACTTTGCAAATAAAAACACATGGTCATAAAAAAAAAAAAAAACCTTATGATCTCTCAATGTTGCTGATAATTGATCCAGAAAGTAAGGTTTTCTGTACTGTGTGCGTCCCTAGGAGTCATGCTACTTATTTTTCCACCTATGAACAATAGAATAATAAAAGTGAAACAGCTGTGTTAGAGTGGTGAAAATTTTAATATCTCAAAATACATGTTTATTCTTTTTATTAGGATCAATTCCTATGGAGCACATCATTACCCTATCCCTCCCCTCCATTCTGACCATCTCAAAACTTTCCTTCAATTTGTATTGACATCACATCTCAGCACTTCCTAACAAGCTCCCTTGCCTTTCATTAAACTAGTCACCTGTAGTTCACCTGAATTTGAGATAACCACAAAGCAGTTGTTCAGGTGAGAACACTCAGCACCTCAATTACAATCTCTGTCCATTAAATAAGAAAAAATAACTGTCACATAAAGTAATGCAAAAATTTTAATTAGCCATAAAACTGGTGTCTCAATCTGCACAATACTATTGGGTTGTTGGAAAAGTCATGACGTATTTTTTCTGTTTTTCGTTGCAAGAATGCATCATGACTTTCCGACAACCCCAATATTTGTTGAATCATAATGGGATTTGGGGACCAACTTTACTAATCAATCAAACTGCTTTATATGTCAACTTTTGAAAACTAAAAGACCTTAACAGTGTAAGTTTACACTAACTTGCACCAAACTTCGAATTCCTTAATGTACCTTCATCCTTAAAATCCAATCGCTTTAAAAAGTCTAAATAAAAACCCTCTACTTTCTACTTTGAGCCTTTCTAGGCTCAAAACTGATCAAATTGGTCATCCCTGATGATCTTTTTGTTTAAAATGGCAAGGAAGGCATTCACAGCAACATCAAGAGTTGGCTTGGCAGATTTAAACGCCCCTCGCCCACCCCAAGCACCTCCAATAAATTACAATTTAAATCACTAGGTGCATGCTTACGATGTTCACAAAACGCAATTCCAGGATGAGTTTTCCAGTCCCCGCCTCCAACTATTGTAGATTACTGCGTAAGTACCTCCTACGATAGAAATTCTAGTTCTCCCCTTAGAGCCAGAAAGAGCTGTGGAGCCCTGGGCGCTTCCTCTCCTTCCTGAGTCTTAGTAGGTCAGGGACCTGCACTATATGCCCCTCTTCACACACGAGCCAGCAGCCCCGCTTTACCTCTTTCCGGAGCACACTCCCCAAACACAAACCCATGAAGCGAACCCCTCCCCGGCCCTCAGTTACTAGAGGTCCCCTCCAGGATCCCTTTCCCCTTCGGAGACAAGCCCGTCTCCAGTCTTGCCCTAAACTCTGAGTGCCACACCCCCTTTACACTGAAAACTTTGGGACGCGCCACAGTCGTCCAATACCCCGCCCCCAAACACCTGATCCTGCTGCCCGGCTCTTCCCCGTAAGCAGCGCGCGCTGCTCCAGGCGCGCGGCGCCGGCCTAAGCCAACTCCCTCGGGTCTTTACCGAGTCGCTGTGGAGAGCCGAAGCCCGGCTCGTCCGGAGGTCGCGGCGCCAGCACAAAAGGAACCAAGCTGGTCAGGAAGAGGAGACACTGCCTCATGTTCCCGGCCCGGCCACCGGCTCCACCTCTGGACTGCCTTCGCCTGGCGGAAGTTCGGATCACTGCTCACATTGGGAGAGGAGGGGATCCGTCCGGCCCGGCCGCTCAAACCTTTCCCCACCCGCGCCGCCTTCCGGAAGACTAAGCCCGGGTCGAGGCCCCGGAAGTGCAGGCAGCATTTCCAGAGACTGTCCAGCCCACTTCCGGCCTTGGCCGACCCCCGCACCGCCCACAGCCGGAATCCGAGCGCCGCGCGGCATGGCGGGAAATCCTCGCTCGCCCCGCCCCTCGTGGTCGCCCCGCCCCCCTTGTCGCCCCTCCGCCTGCCCCGTTCCAGCCGGGCGGGGTTCAGCCTGTCTGGACGCGGCCCGCGACGTCCCGGCCTGACCCAGCCGGGCCCCGCCTCTGTCCCCGGCTGACCGCTTCGAGGCGGGAACTCGCGAGCAGGCCTTCGAAGGCGCGTCCCGCCGTCTCCCTCGTCTAGGTCCTTCATCTGGTTAGGATCCCTGTTACCCATTTTAATAAACGAGCTGTAGAAACCGCCGTGGGGTTCAAGGCGGACGAAGAGGGGCGCCTGGCCGGTGTGCTTGGGGTAATGACCCAACAGCGAAGTGCTGAGAACGAAAGACCGGCTCCTGGGAGGAAGAGGCGCTGCGCCTGACCCCTGAAAAGCGAGCGTCCAGACGCAAGTGAGGTGTCCAGCTTGGCGTTCCTCGCTCAGCGTCTGACCACCAGCGACGTCTTAGGCCTCCGTCCACTGTAACGAAAAGATCTGATGGAGGGAAATAAACAGGAGCTTAATTTCTTAATGCACACTTGCTCCTTGCCCCCGCTGTAGGTTGAGGGTCTGCAAGCATTTCCAGAAACTAGAATCCTAGATCTAACTCATCTGTGTGACTACATGAGCTAGAATCTTGCAGCTAACGTTAAAATTCAACTCTCTGCATGGTCCCTTTAGCTTAGATTGCAAATTTCCCAAGGCAGTTTGTTTTGTTTTGCAATCTTTTGCATAATTTTGGCTCTGTGTAGTTGAGTGTTAACTGAATAAAACATTCTAACATCATGAGATGTGTATTACTATTTTGGTTCAACAAAAGTTGATGCAAGTAGGACATAACACATTTCCCACTTAAGAGTGAGTGGGACAGCCTCTTCACCATGAAATGGTAAATTGTTAGCAATAAAATATTAGTCCTGCCTGGTCAAGTGTCAAGGCTAGTTCCTAATAAAATACTCAAACTATGGTTCAATTTAGGTTCATTGTGGTATGCCTCTTTCCCAAAGGTTATTATCCATAATTATGGCCTATGTGTATTTTTGGCCTAACTGAACCTGTTCTGTTCATCTGAGGTATAAAATGTCTTCATTAAACATATACATACATGGATGGGGACTGCCGGTTTAGCGCAGGTGGTTAGAGCACAGGGCGCAGTGCTCCTAACACCAAGGTTACAGGTTAGATTCCCACATGGAGCAACTGAGGTGCGCCCTCCACAACTAGAATGAAACTGCTGGACTTGGAGCTGATGGGTCCTGGAGGAACATGCTATTTCCCAATAAAAATAAACAAACAAACAAAAAAAAACATATACACATGGATGGCATACCTAATCAAAACGTAAGTCAGGGCCTGCCGAGTAACGCATTGGTTAAGAGCGGCTTGGGACACCAGAGGGCCCCGGTTCAGATCCCACATATGAGAGCCAGTGACACTGCCCTCTACAGCTAAAATGCTGAACAACAGCTCAACTTGGAGCTGGGCTGCGGTGAGTTGCCAGCGACCGCATAGGCTGCAACCCCTGCTGCAGTGGGTTGCCATGGGCTACCATGTGTAGCCAGCAGCCAGCGTGAGCGGCTGTCCAGAAGCTGACGACTGATCTGCCTCGCCCGTGAAGCGCGCAATGATGGTGCCAACTTGGGCCAGTGAAGCAACATCCTCCACAACTAGACTGAAGAACAAAACAACAGCAACTTGTCTGTTCCCCTTCCCCCAATTCTCCAGCCCTGTTCCAATTCCCCAATAAAAATCTTAAAAAAAAAAAAGTCACATTTCACCTCTGCAAATTGTATACAATTTTTAAAAAATATAACAGTTGTAATACATATTCTAGGACTTCTCTACAGATAAGTAATGGTCTCCAAGGAAACAAGAGATGTATGGGAGAGAGCCACATCAAAGAGCTAAGAGTGAAGTTCTAGAGAAAGACACTTACTCAGTTTCAATCAATTTGTAAATGAAATTCACCTAGAGGGCAGACCAACCCCAGGAAGTTGATTTATAAAAGAAAAAAAAAGGATTCTGTATTCTTTGCATTTACAAGAAAGACACATTCCTTTTAACAACTAAAATGTTTTTAAATACATTTTTTTAAATGTTAACAGTTGTGTACAATTTTTTTTTTTAAGATTTTATTGGGGAATTAGGGGAGGGGAACAAGCAAGTTGCTGTCCTTTTGTTCTTCAGTCTAGTTGTGGAGGACGTTGCTTCACTGGCCCATGTTGGTATTATCATTGTGCTCTTCCCAGGTGAGGCAGATCGGTCGCCGGCCTCTGGACAGCCTCTCACGGTGGCTCACGGCAGCTCACACCAGCTGCCAGCCACACACGGTAGCTTATGGCAGCCCACTGCAGCAGGGGCTGCAGCCTACGCCATCACCGGTGACTCACAGCAGCCCAGCTCCAGGTCGAGCTGCTGTTCACCATCTTAGCTGTAGAGGACGCAGTGTCACTGCCCCCCATGTGGGATTGAACCAGGGCACTGCTCTCACTCCCAAGCCAGCTCTTAACCAATGCGCCACTCGGCCGGTCCTAAAGGGAATGTTTTAATGGGCAAGAAAATAACCAGGCCTACTTGAAACTGGAATATTTCCTCCAAGTTCAAAAAGAGAAGAAAACCAGCCATTTCACTGAAGGTATTATTTCAAGGAGATTCATTTCTAAAATATTAGTAACCACCCCTCTCTCTCTCTCTCTCTCTCTCTCTCTCTCAATTCATTTCTAAAATATTAGTAACCACCTCTCTGTCTCTCTCTGTCTCTCTCTCTCTCTCTCACACACACACACACACACACACACACACACAGAGTTTTTCATGACTCTTTCTTTTTGCACATCCTTGTCTTTATCACAGAATTACTGGCTAACCTAGACATTGTGAGCAGAGGTACCAGGCCTCCTATATATTGTATGCTATACAAAATAAGTAGCTACATTGGTTCTTTTCCTTCTTATAGCCCTTCTCTCTCCCTTGGGATCTCAGAGTAATTGAACCACATGAATAACTGAACATACAGAGTAGACTGGATAAAGAGAAAAATGGAAACTTGTGCTGGTTTGAAATTACCTCAGGTCTGAAGTGGCCAAAAGTCATTACTCCTGGGTTGACAGGCCCCAGAGGGGAGGCTATCACCAATTATCCTCCAGTTCTACAGTGGCCAGAGACCTTAATTGAAGATCTGTTCTACTTAGTACTCTTCAGAAAAACAGAACTCAGTTGTTGAATGTTTAAAATCTAATAATTCCAGCATTTTAAGAATAATGCCTCCAAAGGGAATGAAATCAGTATCTTGAAGAGATACTTAGACTCCCATGTTCACTGCAGTATTATTCACAGTAGCAAAGATATGGAAACAACCTGCATGTTCACGGCCAATAAATGGATAAAGAAAATGTGGTATGTACATATAATGGAATATTTTTTAGCCTTAAAAAGGAAATCCTACCATTTGCAACAACATGGACGAACCTGGAGAACATTATGCTAAGTGAAATAAGTCAGACACTGGAAGACACATACTGTACGATCTTGCTTATATGTGGAATCTTTAAAAAGTTAAACTCAAAAAAGCAGAGAGTAGAACAGTGGTTGCCAGGGGCTTGGGGTGAGAGGGGTGGGGATGGGGCATGCTGGTCAAAAGTACAAACTTTGTTATAAAATGAGTAATCTCTGGGGCTCTAATGTACAATATCATGACTGTAGTTAATATTACTGTATCATACACTTGAAATTAGCTAAGAGTACATCTCATGTGTTCTCACCACACACACACAAAATGGCAACTACATGAGGTGATGGATGTGATAATCACAATGTAGGTATATCAAATCATCACATTATACATTTTAAATATATACAATTTTTATTTGTCAATTATACCTCAATAAAGCTGGAAAAAAATAATACCAAAGAAACACACATACCTTTACCCCCAAAGGACTTATATTCTAAAGGATGAAAGATAGGTACAGAGAAACACAATGATATTGGCCTACAAAAAACTGGAGTCATACATTTTTTATATTAATTTTTTAAACTAAAAATGTCCTTTTGGAATAATTTTAGATTTACAGAAAAGTTGCAGCAAGTTCCCATATACTCTTCACTCAGCTTCACCGAAAGTCAGTATCTTACACAATCATGGTGTATTTGTCAAAATGAAAGCATTAACATCAGATTTCACAATTTTTTAAATGTCTTTTTATGACCTTTTAACAATTGTGATAAAATTTACCATTAGTGACATTAAGTACTTTCAAAGGGTTGCACCACTATCACCACTATCTAGTTCCAGAACATTTTAATCACCCAAAAAGGAAACCCCGTACCCATTAAGCAGTCACTCTCCATTACCCACTTCTCCCAGCCTCTGGCAACCACTGATTGGATCACGCAGTTTTGCCACTAATATTCTTTTTCTGTTCCAGGATCCAACGCAGGATACCACACTACATTTAGTCAAATTAACTTTTTACTCCTTAGGTCATAGAAACCTGTATCTAAATATATCATTGCAGAGAAGCACTAGTTAATAGGATGAATCGGTATTCAACAAAATGGTCCAGCTCAGTCCCACCCTCTCTCTCTTCTCTGTACTTACTATTAATAGCCTAAGAGCTCCTGAAGTGACTTTCTGGCCTCTGGTTTCCTCTCCTCCAACATCTCTACTTGCTTTAGATATAATAACACTGGCTAAATGTCTCCTCCTTGGCACATTCTTGCTTCTTTTACAGTCTGTCCTTCTGTTATCCTGCATTGTTGTCCCTTGATGGTATCTTGCTTTTCTCCCCAGAGCATAAGTTCCTAAGGCAAGAATTCTGCTGCTTCCCACAGCAAGTAACAGTGCCTGAGGCAGTCAACAATACTTATTAAATAAACACCAGCAAGTGGTCTGACAGCCAGATATCTCACAATTTTTCCACT